TATCTCAAATATTTTAGCTGATTTAACGATCAATGAAGAGAGATGGAAATGGGCCAGCACTTCACTGCATGAGGAGTACTGGTATGCACTTGAATGCAGCTCTCACACTTCAAATGGGTACACAGGCATGTGGCATAGGAGGACTTCAAAATTTCCATGACAACACTTCTAAATGTTCATGCTATTATTTTTTAATGCATACCATACCATGATACAGAAGTACAAACCATGCGTTTTTTCGTATCTCTTTGTCCTCAGGAGGAGTGGAGCGAGGCTAGCACTGAATGCTTTAAAGGTTGTGCTAAGCCTGTATCCAACACAACTTCCAAAAACAACACGTCTGTGCTGAACAGAACCATAGTGGAAAATGTAGTCCCCAGACCAGGAACTGGAAATGTGATAGCATCTCTGAATGCTATGACCTAATCTTTTTTGATCACAAGTGGATTAATTTCCTCACCTTACATGATAACCCATGTAAAACTTTGCTGACATTATATGCATTCTCCAGTATCTGTATCTGAAGGTGAATTATTACTATAATATTATTTCAGTCCCCCAGAAATCCTGCTGTTTCTGTATCAGGCAGGACTCCAAAAAAAGGATGAAGACAAGACTAGGTCGCATCGATATCTGTGGATGGCCACAAGAAGAAACTTAAAGAAGACTAAATTTGGTGCTTAAAAATGGCACAGACAATGTCATGAATGATTTTATTAATGTAGTAGCTAACTGCTTTCTTCACACCTTAGCTCCCCGCAGGTGGTGGTGTAGAGAGCAACTCTGGCAAATTTATTATCTATTTCCGCGACTTGCACTGGAGTTTGATGAGAATTTCAGACACGTATGCAGTCATCTTATCCTTCTGGAACCTAAGACAGCTTTATGATTTCTATTGCCCAAGCAATTCATAATCTTTTAAAAGGATTTTCCCTTATGATATTCCTTTTTATAGGTGGAGACACATGAAAAAAAATAAAAAAATAATAATTGAAATGACACATCTTAGGTTACCCAGTGAAAATGTGGGTACCCGAGAAATGAATCGCACACTTAGTTTAACATAACATCCAGTCCAGCACTCTCACTCCCAATCCTTAACCTTCTCTGAAGCTTCATATTTATGAAAGCAACTTATCAGAAGTGCTGACCCTCCAGACATCCCACTCACAGAATATAGCACTTGACCCTAAGTCCCATTATTTCAGCCTGATACAGTCGACTCTAAAATTTCTTTAGGTTCTCCTATTTGGGATTTAAGAATCTTGTACCGCAGCACTATTTTCCTTGTTCCTTCTGTAGTCCCACTTTTTCAGTCTTGCTGCTCATGAAGCAGGAAGAAATTCAGTTACAGTATAACCCCAGTTTATTTCCAGAGTATTAGCTACTCTAAGTGCTGAAGGAAGATGAGGCCCTGCAGACAAAAAAAATGCATACCCATGACATTAAAAGTTACATTTAAATGCATGCACACCAGTAGGTGAAATAGAAACACATCCTAAATCACATAAACCTGTTGACTTTGCAGATTTATTTTTGACATTTTAAACCACTGTATTAAAACAAAAGGAAGTACAGTTGATGGTAACAGCTGTACACAACTCTACCACCTTCCTTCCACTGTATCACCATAAGGTTTTCAGCCCTGTAGTGCTCAGCTCTAATCCTAGCCTGAACAGAAATATAAAAATGCAAGCGTAGAGGTACAATGCAGATTCAGCTGCTGTCTTCAAAACGCCACCTCATATGACCAGGCATAAAATTACAGAGACTGCTGAGTAATGTCAGCAGTAGTAGCCTACATGCACTCAAAAACTTCACTTTACAAAGGGCAGGATAGTGATTTTAGCTGATTCTCCTTGAGAATCATACCGCTCCCACATCGATCTGCCAGCATGTGCCATGCCATTGTACTGGATTATTACAGGCACTGGCTGTCAACAGCTTTAGCCTAGCCCAAACCAAACCAAACATTTCCACAGAAGCAACGAAAGGCAGCTTTGTCATCCCAGAATGGTCTTCAAGATAAATTTTAGGTTGCAAAAAAGTTGGATTGTTATAATGTTTCTGTAGTGCACAGTCTTAGTGAACTAAATACTGATGTTAAGTACCAATTTCCCACTGTTTCTATAATCTTCCAACTGTCGTAAGAAAACCAAAATTGTTCACTTTCATGGTCTAGAAGCGAGTTGCAGGTCTGAGTGCAAATTCAGTTCCTCCTTTACAGAAGACCATAGAAAAGAGAAGTTCATAGAAAAGAGGCTGCAGTTTGCCAGTATTCAAAGACAGATCTAACATTAACATGTTTTCTGTAATTTGGTTTATTCCTGTGATCTGCCAGGATCAGTGAAATTGCAGAAGAGCATACAGAAACTGATTTTCTGGTTAAAGATGTACTAGGATGCAAGCATCTATGAAGGAAGTAAGTTTGGATGAGCAGTTACTTTCTCTTGCTTGCTTGTCTTTTCACCTGCTTTTTGCAGCAACAGATGATGGTGCTCTTCAATTTTTTTCAAGCTTCACATACACGGCTATGTCTGCCAATATATTTTCTTGTCCTCATATAAGTTGACATTGGTAAGATTCAGCTCAGAAGGTATTACAACCAGATACTAGCTGCTTCTCGACAACATACCCTCCAACCCCACAACACCTTGTCACGGACTGTCTGTACATATCTGCTTTACACACACCTCAGCGTTTCCGCACACTCTTATGTAACTGACTTCATTTTGGCTTAGCTCCCTTTGTTGGGATTGCTCCCAACCATATCAGTGTATCTGCCATCGAACTTATACTTGTTTTTGTTACTAACATGCAATTTCATTATATACATTCATAAGCAGATGACTACAGTGAAAACTAATAATCTCTTGAAAAATGCTTGTTTTGTTAACTAAGCCATCCAGTCAAGGAAAGTACCTCCCTAACATTCAAGGGACTTGTTTCCAAGTATTGCATATTACAGAGGCACACGATGGCACAGACCCAACAAGAGGTGCATGGTGAAGCCTGGAGGAGCCCAAACTGGACTCTGCATATCAGCTCTCAGAACCTGCCTTGCAGAAGGTTCTCCAGATGTCCTGCTGAGTTACTACAGCTCTGCTCAATGTCACAAACTATTACATTGAAAATGGATTTTCCTCAGTTTATTTTCAAACCCAGGCCTTGGAAAAAGACAAGGCTGCCAGTGGGGCCTCAGATAGGTTGAAAAAGACCTATCTAAGTTGAAAAAGACCAAAATAGGTTGGAAAAGACCTTCAAATCATCAAGTCCCATCATTGACCTGACCTACTGAGTCCCATCACTAAAACATGTCCTTTAGTGCCATGTCCAACCAAATTCAGATACTGACAAAGTTTATTCATGTTAACCTTAACTTTCTATCACCTTGTCTTTCTTACATCTTTAAAGAATGGATAGAAGTCTTTTCATGAGTTTAAAGGTTGAAACAAACAAACAAAACCCCACACTTCTCCTGCAAAACCTTTAAAATTATTATTCTCTCCTCTCGTCTTCATATAATTGTCCTATCTGTGCCCCTTTCCCAAGTGTCCTAAAAGACAAAAAAAGAAAAAAAAAGAAAACAAAAAAGAAAAAGAAAAAGCATTAAGATTTAATTATTTTGACTTTATGACTGGAGTGGGTAGCTGAAATAAGAAAAAATGAAATATTTGCACAATAAGAAAATTAAAAAAATATATATGTTTAAAAAACTCTACCTAACCAGCTGCTCAAAACAGGAAAAGCAAATAAAACAATTAATCACTTCTGCCAACTCCTGAGGAGTATGTCACTGGCAACAGTAAGATATTTTATACTTCACATACACGTATCTTCTCATTCATGCACTAAAAATCACACCTCATTTTTTGCGTTGATCAAGGGAATAACATGCTCATGCCAGATTTAGGATCTCTTTAGGTAGGTATCTGTATCACATACAGCATTTTTTTCCCTGTCACTATGGAAAAGGAACACCGTACAAATAGTGTTGCCACTCATGAACAGGCCAAAAACACAAAGTAAAGACTGCTGATACCCTACTAATTTTGTATAGTTACCATTTGGTTAAAAGAATATAGGGCTGTGAAGTATATCTAGAGCTGTGAAGTAAAACATTTATCTCCTTTTTTTTTTTTTCTTCTTTTTTCCCCCCTATATGAAATATGCTTTTGACTACATATCTCCAGGAAGACAAAAAGACACTTGTCTCTACCTGGATCTCAACACCTGCTTTTTATGGAACAGAAGATTCCAATCATGATTTTCTTGCCACACCGCAATCCTGGAAATTTGAATAGTTTCCTCCTCATTGTGAGATCAAGTCAGTAAAGTGCAAAACTCTGCTCTTCAGTTATTTAAGAGTGGGAGAGCTGCGTTTGTTGCTACTACTGCACAGCCACAGTCTGACAGAGAGAAGAGAAGCAACAGAGCTTTGGTGAGGTGGAGATGCAAGCTCACTCACAGGAGTGGTCCAGCCTCAGATTACAGTTTTTAGGTTGGCCTTCCAGCAAGCTGCCACTTTGTCCATGATCAAATTCCACACTGTTAGTGTCCCAAGTGCTAACTGGTTATTTCAATTCACTTATGACAAAACTTACTAGAGACAACGCACAGTCTAATCCTTGGCTTGACACCACTGAGCTAGACATGACCAATAACGTTCTTAAGTTCCACTGAAATTATAATACTTTATCATCAGAAATTGTCATAAAATTATATTCAAGCATTTTCAGTCTCTACTCATACATTACTACCATTTCTTATCCTGCAAATTCTGAAATCAGCTGTGCTGTACTATTTCAGAAATGGAACAATTGTCAGTCAAAGAAAGCCCTTCCTTTCCACCTATTCACTTTTGTTAAAAAATAACTCTCAAGTAATGCACCATATAGTGAGACGTATTTTATAAACAGGACCTTTTCTACAGACTTTTAAACAGTATTACTGAGGGTTTTCTACCCTAAAAATCCTGTAATCATAATCGTTCTGAATACCTGAAAAAAACCCGGTGGTACAGGACCTACTGGCATGCCATCTCCTGGGGGAATGTTTCCTAGCACTGGACTGGGAGCTGCTGCAGCACTCTGAAAAGAACAAAGGGAAAATAAACCTTTGTCATTGCATGGTAGGCATTAAACCAAAAAATAAAAATAAAAAAAAAAGGAAAGAAAGAAAAAAAGCCCCAAAATCTGCTGTAACCAAAATGCAGAAAGTATGTCTCTGGATATGCAATAATGCCATTGCTTCATCTGAAGGTAAAGTAAAATTGTTTAGTGCCTAGTCTTCTTTTATACAAGCATAATAATTTGTTAATATGGCAGGTCTATGTTGAGTGGAGGGATGCTAGAATTGCACAGATATATACATATATGTATTGATTAGATAGGCCTTGACTAGATTTTAAGAAATATTTAATCTGAATTTATCCACATATATATGAATGTAAATGTAACTTGCACACTTTTTCTTGTATTATGTGTCTTAACATCTTCATGCATGCACAAAGATATATATGTAGCATAAAGAAACTATTCTATGCAATTTATAAGCAATTTCCAAGCACTTTAAAGATAATTTCAGCAGCCTGTAATACTCTTTCAGAATTATATCAAGCTTCAAAACAGGATTCTGTTCAGTACAAGAAGGAAGGAATGTTCACAATTCTGCTGGAAATGTTCGTGATTTTACCAACCCCCAAAATAACCACCATGACAAATTAGAAGAATTCAGGTTACATTTTTGGAAGGGAAAAGAAAAAAATGTGTTTCTAAGAAGTGAAGCAGAGGATGAAATTAGTTACCTTTGCAAATCCTTCAGTTGGAATAAGCAAGTAAAGAATGTTGCCTCTGGCAATTTACAAGCAGGAGATCGTCACAAAAAAGGGAAGCCAGACTGTTATTGTTGTCATGTATTGGAACCTCAATTACTTTTAATTTCTAGCAGTCTTCCTTCCTGCAATACGTTTCTGTTATGGCGTAAGTCTGAATCACCTATAAAGGCTTACAGTCTTTTGTGAAAGTACTCATGCGCGCACAGTGCAATGAGAGCCGCTCGCAGTTTACTAATGGCCTGCCGATATCTGCCCTACAGAACATGAATGACTTATGTTTATTAACTTATCTCTCTGCTGTACGCTCGCGCTTGATATCCAAAAGATGCAGATCTGGAAACTGACTGCATTTCCAGGTGTTTGGCACACTGTCTAGGAAATTAAAGAATAATGCTGGAAAGATCTGAAAACTGGCACAAAGGCGGGCTGACCTTTTTAAACCAAGCAGAAAGGAAATATTCAGTTAATTACCACAGATATTTCAGTGGCTTAAGCTGCGCTTTGGAATCGATGCTTTAACAACTACCAATAACACATCTAGCATCTAAGCTGCATGTTCTTCTCAAACAAAAGTGTAGGACTCATCAGTAAAATGCAAAGACTTTGGAGATGACTGAAGCCTGGTTTGATGGACCAGAAAACCCTGTGATAGAGGGTCTTACATTGTCTGCAGGACTAGTGCTGAAATAATATATGACTGATGGAGAAAGTCGGCCAGGTGAGCTGGAGGTAGCAAAGACATTTGGAGCACACCTTTTTGTCAGAGGCTGCCATAAACCAACCAAACCAGCCGATAAAGCTTCAGCAAATGAAGAAGGCTATCCGCTAGCAATTGCCCTCCTTTGGGCACCATCTGATGTTTGTAGAACTGGAGCAAGGTGCTGCTTATGTGCACGGAAAATCACACTACTCCCTGCAGCACCTCCACTACTGCTTTTGGGTCTGTTGCACTCTCTGGCATCCCAGACAGAAGGAAAAGTATGCAGGTGGCCTGAATGCACAGAATCAACTCCCCAAAACAGAAGAGAAAGCTCTATTTGCATTGGTTTGCTTTGGTTTGTTCTGTTTCCTAATCAAAAATTGACTTGTTCGACCTACGCAGGAGGTAACAATGTCAAGTAAAATCTTGAATAGGTGCAGAAACAGTTTGATTGAAGTATGGCAGATCTTACTTCCACGTTTCTAGATGAAGAATGACAACAGTAGCATCACTGATGGAGAAAATCAATGATGTTAAAAGCCTGAGCATCTTAAAATGTCCGAAATAGCCTGCACTGCAGTCTTTCACTAAGAAGTAGTAGTAGCCCATTAAAAAGGCACAAATAATGATGAACCTTGTTATAATACCATCCCTCCTTGCATTCCTTAATAGTTAAAGAAGCAAAAAAATGAAATAATGATTTTCGAAAACCAGGGGGGGAGAAAACAATTAACATTGTAATCGTTAGGGTTTTTGTCAGCCATTAAACCTTCTAACAAGGCTTTTCCTAAAATATGCCTGAAGATAACATCTTTCAGGTTGTCTCAGTAGTTATTTTTTAATATAATTTGATTTCTATTTTTTTAATGTGACGTAGCCATGAGACCAGAGGAATCCAGACTCATTCCTCAGTGAAGCTGGGGGAGCAGCACACAGCTCTCCAGCCGTGGTACAACAGGCATGGAGCAACTCCTCGTCTGCTGAGCTACAGGTGTAGCAATGAAATGCACCTAAGTCTTCCTCACACATTTACAGATGTACTACGTCCTGAGATGCTGCTGATTCCCCAGCATAAGTCCCAAATTAACACTTTTTTTAGGAGGAGTGATTTTTGTACAACTTTTCTAGTGAAGAGAAGTAGAAAGGAGCCTGATGAAGCACAGGAATGAGTCCGGAGATCTTCTGCAGCCTCTGAAGGCCCATTCTGGAGAGCTGCTCACTGGGTGGCCAGAGGATCTGAACAGTGCTACCACGTCGTGATATAACAGAGGCTGGCAAAAGGCAATTATTTGTGATGATGGAGGGACGAGAAAAACAAGGTTGTGTGGAGGCAATAACAAAAGCGACCCAGAGTGATTTACTTAATTAATCTCAGTTCTAATGGTTCCTGGAGAAAAAGGTCTAAAGCAGAAGAGAGCCAGCTCTTTGTTTCATGCTAGTTGCTAATGATTAATTTAATTTACTTTACTAATATTGGCCATTTTTTGGTTGTGGACCATGATGTTTCAGGGAGGTATTCGAAGCGTTGGTCTTAACTGGCCTGAACTGTCTGAGACTTGATTATCCTGTGTAGTTTACAGACACCTGTGTAAAACCATCTCTCCAATATATTTCTTAGTAGAAGGGAGGACAAAATGAGGCAATGTTTGAGTGGTCATAACACTAGGGCAGTTTTACTGACATTTATAGTACTGCTTATTATTTGTAAGAATTTTACAGCTATAAGCATCCCGTAGTAGTCCTGTCTTTGGTATTAGAGAAATTATAATTTCTGTTTTTTGTTACATAATACTGGGGTTTGTTTTTGTTTTCACGTTGTCTCTTTGGGATTTTTTTCCCTGATGCACAATTAAGTCCCAAAACCAGAAATAAAGCATGTTCACTGCTTTAGCTATGTTACATTTTCTAGCTTACACTATGTGATGAACATTTTAGGACCTTATGCCAGGTAGATCAATAAACAAACCTGCAACAGCTGCACTGAGATATTCTTATTTATTCTATCCTAATGAATTATTCAGTTCTTCTTCCACAGTCCCACAGCAAACCATGGCTTCCTTTTGCATGCATTACAAGTTGCTCATCATTTATACTTCCATTAGTTTGACACTGTAAATATTTGCAATTTGCTTTCTCCACGTTTCATAAAAAGATGAAATAGGAAAATTTAAATGGTCTAATATTTTTCTACAATAGTTCTCCTCCTTAAAAATAGAATAGTTTATTCTCTTTTGCATCCAATATACTGAATTTATGGCATCTCTTTAGAATTATTAATTAAAATAATTAAAATACTTGAATGAAAATTATTGTGGACATTCACTGTGTTATTCCTACAACCCTGGAGAACACAAGGCTAGATTATTACATTAAGAAAGTTAAAACTAGTGTCTGATAAGTAGCTTGTAATGGTTTAGGATTGTGTTTACCAACAAAGAAATCACAAAAATAAATAAATAAAATTAAAAGATGTCACTTATTACATATAAAAACTCAGAGAGCAATTTGTAATGCAGAGGTCATTTGCTGAGGCTCCCAGAAGGGGTTTGTGGCAGAAGCTCACAAAAGAATTCTGTTTTTGATCAAAGTATTTCACAAAGCAAAGACTTTATCCATTAAAATCCTAATCTGGCTCATTCACTAATATAAAGAAGAAGCCTGAAACAATTAACGAGGAAATTTTCACTTTTAAAGACGTTTCGTTCATCCATTTGTGCACACAGGCACAAAGGTGCTGTCCCACCCTCCACCGCACCTCCTGTCACATAGCACACGTGAATGAAATGTGACTGAGGATGCTCTGCTGTCCCCCTGGGGTTGAGATTCCTCTGCACATTGCTGGCAACAACCACCTGCTGATACCTCCCTCCATGTGCAGTCTTACCCCTAATATTAGGGTAAAGGCAGGCGTTCTCTGGAGGGGCACTGCAGTGCCTACCTAGAGCATGGGTTTTTGCTGTACAGCTTCATGCACAGTGGTTGTGACACTCCACTGAATGTAGAAGTGAAGGCAGGAAGGGTTACACACATGAAAGTGAATTAGCATCATCACTATGAAAAGGTAAAATCTGGTAAAATACTGGCGAATCTCAGTATCTCTCACGACTCTAGAGTGTAAGCAGCATTTGCTGAAAATAGAGCATGGGAACTGCTACTTTTCAAATTCATTTGCTGAAACTCTAATCACTTTAATGATAAGCCTGAAAGCTTTCCTTTGATTATTTCAAAATTTCCTATCTGATTTTGAATGAGACTCAGAAAAGACTGCTGATGTACTATGAACTATTGCAAGTAATGCCAGACATATTAAAGCTTTATTTCCTCTCTCTGGATCCTGCTTCAGAGAGAAGTTAGGACATGGGAATTTTGGCAAGATCTTCAGAAATGATAATACTTAAATCGGTTTGTCTGGAATTCAGAGTTTGCATCAAGAGTGATATTTTCATAAGAAATCTATTGCAGACAAATCCAGAGAACTAGCTGCATTATATATGCAGTATCGTTTTACATTTCATGTAAACCTTAACATGAGAAAGACATAATTTACTCCTCAA